TTTTGCTGTTCTTAGCTGACTTATTTTGTACAGTGAATGTCCACTCTTGAGGAAAAGGGCATAAACTATACTTTCGCATAAAATTTTAGGAAAATCTTAAACATCCTGTGCAATTTAAACCTTTTACTTTTAAAATTGTTTTAATGAACAAGCAGTGGACATTGTAAGAGGAATAAAGCACTTAAGTAAATTGTGACGTACAAAATATTTGCTCTTTTTTTCAAATTTATTAATACAATAATCTTCTAGTGTAATGATGCCTTATTTGGTATTATTAGTATTAGTATTTTTACTAAAATACTATTAACAATTAGCACAGTGAAGCTTGGGTGTTTATTTTCTTGGAAATGTAGATTTTTGGATTACCTAAGAGATTTCCAGATGGCTGACGGCAACTTTGCTGCAATCTGTTTAGCCTTCCTGTTGTCTGCTGAAAGTCTTGATCTCTCTTGCAGCCTTAATCAACCACAGAATGTAGAGAGAATGTATAAAAAAAACACACTTTTCTTTTAAAAGTGTCATCCCTGCAATTATTCCACATTTTTAGTCAATAAAATCTTTTTAAATGTCAAGTGGCTAAAACCCTTTTTCTCCAGATCTGCTGCTCCTGCTGGTGTTTCACCACGCGCCCGGAGGAGGGAACTCTACAGGGACATCCGCTCCCATGTTTGGGGAACTCTAGGAAAGCGACAGATACATGGTTGGAGTTTGCCACTGGCAAACACTCAGGTACTTCTCAGGCTGCCGATTTACTGTTTGCTTCCTACCTGCCTACCATTAATGCTGCTTAAAAATTGCGGGAAATAACGCAAGCGCTAATGCATGAGGATTAAATGTGATTACTCCAGGAGTCTGGTGAGCCCGTTCCAGAGCCTAAAGATGTGCCTGTCTTAGTTCAACTCAGACTCTTGGATCAAAGGGACTCCACCGCCAAGGTAAACTCCCAAATGTTAACATCACACCTTTTGGACAGAAACTATCTTCTGACTTCATTTTTCCTGTGCAGCTTAACTGTGCTGTTGCAGTCACACCTGAGATCTCAGGAGAAGCCACAGTAAGTTCGTTTAATGCATCTTCTAATGACTCCTCTCCACCCGGTCATGATTAACGCCTTCTAAGCACAGGTCTGCTCATGCCGCTCATGTTTCCACGTTCTGTCATCCCTGCCCTGCCAGTGTTCTGTGTGGGTTGTTTCGGGTCCTGCCTCCTGCAGTGAAATCACGGTGATTGACCCAGCACGGTCCAACACAGTCCTGGATCAGTTCAGCCTCCCTCCCACAGCCCCTGCCCTCTGCGTCTGTGCTGTACCCCCCACAGGTCAGTCCTGCATCGAATGGCTGCAGCGTCTTTGTTGTATTTTTTTTCTCTATTGATTTTAACGTTTTGCTGAAATCGCTTGGAAATGACTCGGCGTTTTCCTTTGACACGTTCTGGTTGGTTTTGTTTTGTCAGAAAACTCGGCAGGGACTGTGTGGATTGGAACTCAGGAAGGAAGGTAGCATTGGCTGAGAAAGCAGATCTCTTCCTCATGAAACACATTTTCTTGACCCTCATGCCCAGCTCCTTTCCTTCATCTCTTGTCTTTGTTTTGCAGTATTCTAGTACATCCGGCTTCTGCAGGAAGGAGGCGATGTGTGCAGTCAGTATGCCTCACAGAGGGTGTGCATTCACTAGTGTGAGTACGATCTGCTCTGTTTCCATATTAGCATGTATTGGATTTTAAAAACATGACCACAGATATTTCTCCCCCCCCCATACTAAAAGTAGTCTACGTCATGTTGACTTAACTTTACAGGTACTCCAACAATCAGGTTATTGCTGGTTTAGCTGATGGTACTCTGGCATTTTTCTCTCAAACTTCAGGTAATCAGCATATTGGCTTCTCATGTTTTACGGTATTAATGTTCAGTGACGGAAACGATGAGATGTTGTGCGTTTGTATCCACAGACGGATGGAATCTGCAGTCGCACTCCGTGATGCCTCTTGGAGTAAACCCTTTGCAGCCCATTCGCTGCTGCCTCGCAAAAGGTGCTCGTCTGTGGGTTGGATACTGGAACAAAGTTCATATCATAGACACTGACAACAAGAAAGTAGAGGTGAGAAACAGAAATGTTTGCTAAAATACAATGCTGACTGTCTTATAAAACCTGTATCAACTTTTTTTAAGTGTATTTTTAAATTTTAAATGTAGTCATCATCTTAGAACCAGGATCTCATTATTATTTATTTGAATTTGAAACCATCTGCATAATTGGATTACGTTTGTTTGATTTAATTATTCATTTCAAGATTCAAATTAGACAATGCATGACATCCTTGGACTGTAGCAATGTTTATATAAATATATATATTTTTTTTATTCAATTAAATATTTACACCATCATGCAGTTCAGGTATATAATCACACTTGATGGTTCACAAGAAAAACTTCATTTCGTCACGTTTGGATCATCTTCCAAACATTTTTGAATACACCAGCTCAATATTAGGCGGGCTTCCTGTCAAGATTAGCTAGAAGGTCTGAAGTAATATTGATTCGGTGCTGAGCTTGTTTCTGAGGAATCATTTTAGCCATGGCAGTTATCCAAAACTCTCATAACTAAGATGATTCCTCAGAAACAGGTTCAGCACTGGATGGAAAAAAGAAGCCGAAGTGCAAGAAAGGATCTTTGAAACAAAGGATGATTCAAGACTTTTGCACTTCTGGCTTCTGTGTGCATATATATTTAAACTTGCTGTATTTGTACGTGCCATCATTGTTTCTCATCTTTCTTCCCAGCAAGTATTTTCCGTATCGGAGCGCAGTGAACAGCAGGTCCGCTTCCTGTGTGCTGGAGGAAGTGGGGTTTGGACGTCCTGCAGACTTGACCCAATCATCAGGCTGTTTGACTGGACTACTGGGCGACCGCTGCAGGAAGTCGACTTCACATCTTTGGTCACTAAAACATTAGGTGCTTGAACTGTGTTTTTTTTTTTTGTTGGTTTTTTTTTCCTCAGTTTTAGTTTTACTGAAACAGTTTTACATTTATTTGACATCAGTTTGTTTTCTTTTAATTTGCGACCAACTCAATTTAGTTTATGGCTTTTGTTCACATTCCTGTTTGTGTTGCAGGTCAGCCCTTCTTGACGCTGTCGCCTCTCCAGATCTCCTCCCTCTCCATCATCTCTGGCCGTCTGTGGGTGGGCACCGGCGGTGGCGCCATTTTCTCCATCCCCCTGTCAATAAGTATGTCAAAATGATTCCATTTAATATCATTAGAAATGTGCTCTGGTATTAAGGGAACTAATTGTCCACAGCGTCGGAGGATATTTCCATCCCATACTGCTCCACTACATCAGTCCAGCTGTCGTACCACGGACACAGACAAGCGGTTCGATTCATCATTGCTGCTCCTGGTAAGAAATTAAGAGCCGTTACTATAATGTAGTACGTTTTTCTTTTCTCTCTTTAAATAAACGTCAATTTATTGCAATCTTAAAGGCTAGAGTGTTCTAAAATTATGACACCAGATTAAAATCTAGTTATATTTTCAGGAATATGAGCAGAACAGGGTCTGATCAACTTTTCAGACCATAAAAACGATAAATTCACTAACCTAATGACAGAAATATACTTTTAGTGTCTGTAAATGTTAATTATTTTTTTTATAACATGAGCGTCCTGTCTCGTCCTTACAGGCTGTTTGATCACATCTCCTGGCAACAGCCAAGTAACCACTGCTCAGCTCATCCTCAGCGGAGGAGAGGGCTACATCAACTTCCGAATAGGTGAGTTCAGTTTGAACACTAAATGGTGAGTGAGGAGCACAGCCGACGCTTCCATAAACGCTGAACAAAACGAACCTTTTCAGGAGACGACGCAAGCGATGAGTCAACGGAGGTGTCTCAGTCGACGCCCCAGCGGTCTGAACGTAGTCACATGATCATCTGGCAGATTCCCGGCCCTTCTGTGCCCAACCCTTCGCTCTGAATGTTCATCTCCTGAATCATGTTGGACGTAAACGAGCATTAACAGCACCAGAGCCTCCTCTCGGCGGTGCACTGATCTGAACAGAAATCTCACTGTGGCAACAAAAAGCCTTTAAGATGTGATTTTTTTCCCCTTCTTTTTATATATATATGTATTTCTAAGTCCTGTACCTTGTTTGTTTGACTAGATTATGTCTTTCTGTGTGCCTTCATCTGACTTTTATACCCAGTCTGTGTTTTTCATCGGTTATCAACATTTTTTTTTAATCTGATAAACTTTTGCACAAGCGATGAATTCAGGTTCACAAACACTGAGATCTCCAGTAGAACAATAGAACGATCCTCCATTCTTGGATCATGAAGCTCAGTTTATCTTGGTTTGCGTAACTTTACTGGCACACTGGAAGCGGGTTTGTTGATTCTGATAATCATGTCAGAATCTTTTGACGCTGCATTCAAACTGGGAACTTGATGTGTGGTCTTTTGTCCTGGGACAGGTAACAAATCCTGCCTCTTAAGTCCGAGTGGAGGAATTGCAACAACTTGCACATTATAAATGTGTCTGTGTAAAATGTTCTCTTGAATCTCTTTAAGAAATTATTTATTTTCCCTGTTGTTTGCCTAATGAATCAAAGTGTTTTATGTGCTTGTAAAATAAGGGAGAGATGTTCTTTAAAGTGTCGTGTACAGTATTAATGTGGCATTACAAGTTTAAGCAAACGTATCACAGAAGCCTCCTTTTTTTTTCTTTTTTTTTTTTTTTTCTTGGACAGACTAAAGTATAGGTTCTCAATCAAATCTTGCAGCATTGGTCATTTTTTTTATGTTATTGTGTAAAGCTGTATCCAGATTCATATCACTAAATTAAAATATATTTAAAAAGCCAAATCAGTTGAGGTAAAACTTGTCGATACACAAAATGGTATATTTCAAGTCTTTATTTCTGATGATAGCTTCCAGCTAAAGCATGTCTAAAAATTGGTGACTATGGAAATTACAATATTACTTTCAACTGCTTTAAATGTAGATTTTTTTATTATTATTTACTGACTTGACATTGTTTTCCAGTAGAGAGTCAATAACACATTTGGCAAAAAGGGTAAGCCACTAAGAAGAAGCTGGCTGTTCAGACTGCTTTGTAGTAATATAAAGTTTAGTGGAAGGAAAAAGTGTAGTAGATACACAAGCAGTAGGGATAACCAGAGCCCATTTTCAGGTCTCTCTTCAAAAAGAGTTTCTTAAGCATTTGGTGTGATGGGTATTTTGCAGGCATGTTGTGCCCATTGTTTAGCACAAAGTCAAATTTAAAAAATGTTATGACTTTGAGAGAAGAAAACATGAACTAAACACTTTCTCAGTGTGAAGATCCTCAGATGATTTGGGGTTCCATCTGCTGGTGTTTTTCTAGTATGTCTTATTAAAAAAAAAAAAAAAGTCCAAAATCTGTTACAGGAACTGTTAGAGCACGCTTCCCTTTACTGACGAGCTTGATGGGGATGTTTTCATTTCCCAGCAGAACCTTGGGCCTGCCCAGACTGCCACAAGCATCAATACCAGCTTTAATGATCATAATGTTGCTATACTTGATTGACATGCAAACTGGTCTGACCTGAACCCCAATCTAGAGCACTGACTACCAAACCTGTTCCTCAAGTACCCCTGCCCTGCATGTTGAGATGAGATGAGTCTCTGTTCCAGCAAACTTCATCCAAATGATCGCCTCTGCAAACACCAAATGCTGCAGAAACCTTTTAATCCGCCATACATTTAAGTCAGTTGTTTGGAAGCAAGGAAACATCTAAAAGATGCAGGGCAGGCGTACTCGAGGACCAGGACTGGGAACCATTGCTCCAGAGGATCATCAAGTGGAAGACGAGGACACCAAACGCAGCAATGCAGACAAACTGGAGGCCACTATTAAAACAACTTGTGGTTCTTTAACACATTAGCTGACCCAAAGGGTTTGGGTTTTCATCGAGTGTGACCCATGATCATCAAAATAAGTAGCAATAAATGTATAAATATATATAAAATATGAATATATGTGAGCACAACATTTTCAACAGATTTACTGAAATTAACTTTTTGAGGATGTTTTAAATTATTGAGATATACCTGTAGCAAAGACAATAAATTATTAACAAGGCAGCTGAGAAAAGACACTCATTCATTGATAAAGTTTTAATATCAAAGACTATATAAACTAGTGCATGTGTGCATACTTAATCAAAACATACATATTCTGTTTATAAAAACAAAGGTTGATGGGTCTTTTTTTTTATCAAAAACTGACAAAAGCCTTGAATTAGGCTTTTGTTTCAAGTAAGTTGGCTCAACAGGAATCAAAACCAGGCCGATGCCTCGACCGTTTAACGGGGACTGCTGCGCGTCCTGGGGAGCCGCATCCTCCGGCTGACCGAGCGAGCCAGTCGGTCCATAGCAGAACCCATATGTCCACTCGGGTCTTTTTGTAAATGCAGACCTTCGATGTTGCCGCTATACCAAAGCACCCAGCCGGCCATGGAAAAGAGCACCAACAGAGCTCCAGAGTACACCAGCAGATCCCCAAAGTCTTCGCCCTGGATCTCTAGGGAAGCAAAGACGCCTACCAGCAGGAACGTCACACCCAGCACGTCCATCACCACGGCAAACACCAGAGCGAGCTTACAATGGGACAACCCGTCATACTTCGGTCTCATGGCTGCACTGTAAGAGAAGGAAGAGCTCATTTAGACAACAGTGTTGTGTACCATGTTAGCTGTTCACACTTGTGACCTCTTGCTCATCGTATAAAAATGGGTGGTCTTATCCTGGAAACCTACAGCACCCCAACACTAGACATCTTTGGTGAAGATGTGTAAACAAACAAGAAATGAATCCAGCTTTTAATCAAACTACATTTATCCATCAAGGAAACAATTCCACATTTACTTTTAACAAAATCACTGGTACCACACTGATCCTAACTCCTGTTGTTAATGCTTTGTTTATTTTTTCTTTTTTTTTCTCCTTTCTATAGCACCTTGACCTGGTTCTCTCCTGTACAGTATAAAGCAACGAAGAGCTTTTAAAAGCGAAATCCTATTGCAAAGATATGTAACATAACATAAAGTAGCTAGCCAAAAATGAGGAAAGCAGTGGCACCTGTAGTTGTGTCACAAAAATCATTAAAACAAGATTAAAATATATTAAAGTTAAACAAAAGTGAGTTTGGATTTGGAATCGGTTTAATTTGGTTTGAGCTCGTCAATACAGAAACAACTCACAACAAATGTCTCCTCTGGTGAACTTTAACTACAAATGCGACTGAAAGACATCATTATTACATGATCTGAAAATTAACCAGTTAAAGATAAAAATACAAAAGAAATGTGTTCATAAAAACTGCAGGACATGTGTCGTAACTCCATATTTTAGTACATGTTTACTCTGGTCTGGCCAAAACAGTTGCCACACCTGTCCTGATAGTCATCAGTCATCCTGATAGTCATTATTTTGAAAGGTAAGCTTAAAACGAAACCTCATTTGAAATATTTTAATTGCTTTTAGAAAAGATTATTCACTTACCTATTTGTTGGGAAGGCGAATGTTTGATATTAAAGAAGTAAATTTGGACCAAGGTCGTATGTTGTCTGCCTCTGTATCGCATGTGGGAGAAACCAGCCGCCGAAACCTGACACCTTGTCACCTGTTTAACCTGTCCCGCAGTTTTACCCAACAACAAAGGGCACAGCACAGCTGGGATCTTCCTCTTTTACTCTCTGAAATTGTCACTGAATTCTTTACACAAACTTAGTAGCAATGCGTTTAAGTAAACGCTTGTCAAAGAATGTACAATTATTTACGATAATATGCCAGAGCGGAAAAATAATGTACAGTTTTGGGAGTGTTGAAGTTAGCATCTGATTCGGCTCTTCACTAAAGGGCTATTCCGCAGAATTTCATGAACTCATGACTAACTTCGATCTCTAGAAGAGGTGCAGTTTCATACACCTCAAAGTTGTTGTCCTACATGTTCGTTCTTTCACCATAAAACAAATAAAGGTAGACATGAAACATGAAATATGAACAATGTATCGCAAACACTCGTTTATAGCCAACTTGGTGAATCAGTTTTAGTACTGATATTTAGATGGTATCAGAAAATAAGTGATCCTTTTATTATAGTAAACATGAACAAAAATGAATCAAGCCAAACTTTAATAAGTTGTATTTTCAAACGAAAGAAGACGTGGGTAAACTGGACTTATTTTAAAAGGAAAAAATAAAAAAAAAAAAAAAAAAAAAAAAAAAACTTGAATTATTATGATTTTTTTTGTTGTTTTCACAATTTGAATAACTTTTACAGTTAATAAAACGTCAAACAGTAATGACCATAAAATCGCTTGGTACGAGTTTAACTGTTCTGAATCTTTAGATTTCGATCTATAGCGAGTTAAAGGTAAGATTTTTACTTTTAGAGAGAAATAGCCCTTTACTCTGAAGGACATCTTCGGAATCTACAAATCAGAAGCTAACTTCAGCATTGTTGCTTTTTAGCAACATTTATCCAAAGAAGTATAATTTGTGTTTCATCTCGTTTCATTTTTTATCGACTTGTCTTTCAGTATAAATAAACTAAATCCAAATATATGAATGCTCACTACATAAAACCTTTCGTAAATGTTTTCTCACTAGCATATAAACCGTCAGTCAACAGCCGGAAATGACGTCATTCGGTGCTGAAAAAATATGCCGTAATTGTTATTGTTAGCTTGTTAGCTAGCAGACGAACCGCTGAAATGGCGATATGACTGAGTAATAACGGCTTATTACATATGCACCACTAAGTTATAACTAATCCTAAAATGGTACGTACCAGTTTCTACGGTATATATTTAAAGCAGAGATTTTTTTTTAGAGCAAGAATGACGGAATTAAAGTACTTATTGTGTATAAAAAACGAAATGGTGATTATAGTCTGGCTACATTTTCTGGGCTAACAGGCTAACCTTGTTTTGAGCTAACTCCTTTCTCCTTTCTTCAAGACGCTTCAGACATATATTTCCCAAACATTTAATCCGTGTGAAATAATTTCTGTGTCATCGAATTTAATTAGTTCTGATTTTCTGTCCGTCTAGACAAAAAAAAAAAAAAAAAAAACACAGGTGAAGGTTCCTCCGTGAACAGAGGTTTAGAAATAGTGTCTCTATTTTTAATATATAATTAAGAATTAAGCTTCATGTTTTCTGCATGTGTATTTGTGACTTGTTCACATTATTTTCGGTTCACTTAACTTTTGTCTGTGGCAGATGGAGGACGGTAACAGGAGTGATGGACCTTCCACATCAAAGGGCCATGTAGGCTCTTTTCACCTGCAGAGTAAGGTCTTAGTTGTTTTAAAGTCCGTATCTAAATCACTGTTATCACTGAAAGGAGCAGAAAAACAGATGATTCCAGTAATACCTACCCAATATAGACAAACTGTCCTACTTTTGAAAATTTCTCCCTCACTTGTGATCGTTTTGTCTGATTTTAAAATGCAGACTGTCGTTGAAAAATGTTATGAACATGTGATAGTGTTTATTTAGCACTTTATGAACAGATTGTCATCATCTAGTAACCAGGTAAACCATACATAGTTTCCTAACTACAGAAAGTACACTTCAGCACACCTGAGTACAGCGAAAATTTCCTAGTGGGAAATGTAGATACAATTTGTATATTTCTGAATAAAATGGGTCAGTTCTTCAGATGTAACTAATTAGTGGCAATTACCTTTAAATGCTGCTTACACACAAAGTTAGAGTTTATTTCTCTCCTGTAGGAGAAATTTGTTTGTTACACTGCACACTGCACAGAGACATTGCACTCTTCCATAACATCACAAAGATAATAAATAGAGAACTAATGGATTAATAAAGACGTCAAAAACAATGTTTAAAATAAGTCGACAATGAGTAGAAATAACATAACAAACACAAGTGAACTAAAAAGCCATCGGAACAAAACCCACGCTCCTCTAACAACTAGACAAAATTAGTGAAGAACTAAACTGTGGAATTAGTTATCTAAGTAGTTTTGTATCCTTCTGGACACGGCCACCTTCTGCTCTTTGTTCACTGATATCTGTTGCTGATAAAAGAAGCAATTGGTTACGCACGGGACTGGTTTTATTTAGATTTCTTTTGAAATGCATGAAGAAAGAGTTGGTTGAGAATTTCTAACCCTTCAGCAAAAAAGATTACAACTAAAGTCTTTGAAGACCCCCAACCGCTGCTTTTCATTCCATAAAGGTTGCTAAGAGACTCACAGAGTACAAGGATGCCTTCAGCATAACCCAGTTTTCCTTGGACTTGCACATTAGTCATACATCTTGTGTAGCTGGGTCAGCAAACTCCTATTTGATTATTTTACAGCATAGCATTTCAAAAGGAGAATTCATTGTAGAGTTGCAAAATATACCTCTTGACAACGGTAGTCTTTGACCACTGACGTATTAAAGTATTAAAGTATTAGGAAAAGTAATTGTATATATATATATTGTTCTAAAAAGCAACTCTAAATCAGCAACTGATTCTCCAAAACACTTTGGCTCGAGGGAAGTGAGGGAAATTGGCAACAATTTGCTTTTGATTGCAACCTTGTAGTTAATTGCTGCAAGTAAATGTGGTTATTCTGCTTTAGATCATGAGATATTTAACGATTTTGCCTTTTTTCAGCTCCAAAAAGTGAGGACACCTATGAGATTGCCATTCCCTTTGAAGAGAACAACTTTGAGCAGCAGGGGTTCTTCAACCAGAGCGATCAGAACTTTGACGGTAAAAGTCACGCGATGCATTTGCTGTCACCTGTCACGGCTCTTGTTTTGTGGTGCAGCACCTGCGAACACTGGAGCCGTTCTTGTCATCCTCAGAACCAGCCTCGAGTGCGGGCCCGTCCACAGTCAGCAACTCGTACATGGTGATCAACAACCTGCGCACCCAGCTCCAGATCTCTGTGGAGAAAAACTCGTGGCTGCAGAAAAGAATCGAGGATCTGGAGGAGGAGCGGGACTTCCTGCGGTGCCAGCTGGACCGCTTCATCTTTTCCACGAAGAGCCAGGGACCGGAGCAGGGTCAGAGTCAGTACAGCAACGGTGTGGAAAGACTCTTGCCATCGGAAAACACTGTCAATCATCAGATTAATGTTGAAACGTTGTTGAAGCGGTTCTTTTTTTAAAATAAAAATAAGAATTTCCCTTTTTGTGTTTTTCTTAAATCAGGATATGAATCTAGACGATTCAACTGGAGGGCAAGAAGAGAGGAAAACCCCCCCCCGGGTAAAAAAAAAAAAAAAAAAAAAATCACTTATGCTTTTTGATTCCAGCTTGTGGGGCTGTTTGTTTATTTATTACATTTTCATGATCTCTAAGTCTCAACCCACTTTGTACTTTCTTTTTTTTTTTTATAGAACAGCAGAAAGCAGACCAACAGCATTTCCCTCAGCGCCAGTTTGTCCAGCGAAGGCCTGGTCCTCCCACTATGGTGCCTGCCAAAAACCACGTCTCCAATCCAATATCCTCTCAGCTCTCTAATATGAATGCTTTGTACAACACAACACAATCGCAGGCCCTTTTGCAAGGCCACAGTCACAGCACCTCAAGTACAACAGGCAGTGGCAGCAACAGCAAAAACAACAATGCTGCGAGATCATCCTTAAACCAGCTGAGTGGACTCAATGTCCCAGGTAATGAAAATTAAATTATGTATCTGCTTATTTGATTTAATGAGGAAATTCCTACAGATCAGCATCTCCTTTTTCCTGACTTTCAAGACTTGCACTAGAAAGTTAAAAGATACATGTGTTACATTAACATTAACATATGTAAATAAAATGAAATAAGTCAGAGTAATATGATACAGACAAAAAGTCTAGTTTAAGAATAGCAATTCTGCTCTTCACTGACAGGGAAGAATGAGGGGAAAAAATCAGTTTTAGGTTTTGTCAGAGATGAAGATGTGGCTAAGTTTGAAAAAAAACGTGGTCCTTTAGTCAGTAATATAAATACTGATGGATAAGGTGTTTACACTAGGAGTAATGGAGCAAATCAAACCAAAAGCATGTCATTTAAAGATAAATTACAAACATCTGTAAGTATTAAGCATTTATAGATTTTGCTCTTTTAGAAGCCTGAAAAAGCTGGAAAAAATTATTAAATTATTAAAAAATGTGATTATATCCATCTGCAAACACTGCTCTGTCTAAAAACAGAGCATACCTTCTGAACAATCCCAAAGCCGCATAATATGGCCGAGGCGGTTTAACAGCAGCCATTGTATTATAGTGTTACTTTAATGAAGTCAGTGTCTCATACATGTGTCCTTTGCCTACTGGGTTTTGTGAAGCAAATTATTTTTCGCCCTTACAGATTCCCTCTCACTGCTGGGAGAATCTGATGAGTTCTTGGAGGAGGACGGCTTCATCGAGGAGGACGAAGGGGACGATGTAATGTCAGAGGCAATTAGCACCAACAGGCAGCAGTTAAAGAGGAGGCGAGTCCTCCGAGCGCCGCGAGAGCGGCAGAGAGGTGACATGGAGATCCTGAAAAAGAGAGACCCCGAATTTCATTGTCATTCCGGCTGCGGCTAACTCTGCTCTGCCTTTCTCTTTGTCAGTGAAAGACGCCGCAGGAGTGCTTTTTCGCTACAAGAAGATTCTCCTGACGTACCAGCGCCTCAAAAACATGACCAAGGCCTTCCAAATCCACGGTGTTGACCGCAACACCGTGGCCTCCACCACACCCATCGCCGAGCTCCATCTCGTGGCCCCCGAGAAAGTGGCCGAAGTGGGAGAGTTTGACCCCTCCAAGGAGAAGCTGCTGGATTACGCCCGACGCTGCTACCTCGCCCTGGACGAAGAGACGGTCAGCAGAGTGCAGGCGTTGAAGAAAAATAACCTGCTGCTGCCCATCTCGTACCGATTCAGGCACTGAGGGGAGAAGGAAGTGCGAAGGGAGAATTTCTCCTTGACACAGACGGTAGAGGTGAAGTCAGAAGAGGCTCATCCCCTCCTAATGCAGAAAAACACCTTTTATTACATCTTATCTTTCCACATTTCTGTTTTTTTTTTTAATACAATTTATATGTATTTTCATTTGACAGATCTTTGCTAACATGAAAATGATTGATGTCAGCTGTATTGTGGAGGTAGAGACAAGGGAATTCTTTTGAAATGAAATTAAGTGTTTCTGCAATCACAGAGGACTGTAATTATGGTGGTTCTTCAGTCATTTTTTTTTTTCTTCATTTGTGTTTTGCAAAGACATTTTTTTTTATCTTGATCTGCTGGAGGGCAGCAATTCAAACACTACTTTAGATGACTGCAGTTTGTTAAATATCCAAATTTATATAACTTTGTTTGTATTCTGCTTTGACACAATCCCGTAAGTGTATTAACTTCCAGTGTGTAATTTTTTTTTTTTTTTTTTTTAATTTTAAGTTGTGACTCATTTTTAGAATACTTTGAACAAATAATACCAATTTCAGGATGATTTTCATTGCTTTTATTGTTTTGTTTGTCTCAATGGATTTTTTTTATATGATCCACGTTTAGAAAAACTCCATATTTTGTTGCAGTCCTCCATATTTAAAGATGAGGAGGACAATCATTAAATTAGAAATTAGAAAAATACATAGGTATGGCAGGATAGGTTAGTCTCAAACCTTTGGTGCCGGGGCACCAAATGTCGATCAACAAGTTACTGGTTTTATCGCTAACCTTGCATTTTGTCTCAGAAATGTTGGTCGTTTTTATTTATTCTTACCATTGGGAACACCAGTTGCACCTCTGCCTAGTTTTAATGCTGCATTTCTTTCTTTCTTCAAAGGATTCCAAGCAACTTTTGTATATGTCTTCAACCAAGTTACCATAAATGTAACTTCCTACGCTTCTGGTATTAGGAATCTTGTATTGCATTGTGAAAATAGCACAGTTTTATATATTATGGCTCTGAGCTATTCCACTACATAACACTATGAGGTTTTTTGTAATATTGTGTAGGTTTTGGTTCCTTGTAAAAAAAGAAATTCTGTGGAAACAGCAAAAAATCGTCAGCAGAAACAGAGGAACTGTTCTTCACAACATGTGCATGTAAAAAGAGCGTTTGTGATCTCTCTTCAAATTTCAAAGCAGCTGGTTGTAATCTGCTATGAAATGCAACTATTTTGGTAGTGAAGGCAATTATTTAGGATTTTGTTCTACAGCAGAATAATACTGTGTAACCATGAGTCCATGAGTAAACAGTTCAAGAGCAATAAGGGAGCTGCAAAGTTAACTGAGGTTCCTGCCAGTTCACACATTTCCACCTGGGACAGTTTCTACTTGCAGCATGAGTCAAATGGCAGTAAAGCATTTGAATTCATATAAAAATATAACGTTTTATTCTGTAACCTTCAAAAACAAATCTCTCCGATGAGTGCTGATGATTCATTAAGAAATTGTGTTAGTAGAAGTGAAATAAACGGTTTGTTTTCCCCCCACTAACTGATTTCTCATTGTCGTTACGGTATTGATGTCATTAACTGTGTTTGATGTTTGAAACAAAGTGATTTGCTCTGACTTTTTGTTCATGTTTTTAGTCTTACTCATGATGGACGAGAAAAGTGGAAACTACTTCAGTTTTCTTCTCCAAGATTCCATTTTAGGGGCCCTCTTATTTAATATCTACATGCTTAACATGCTCCTGCTTGCTTAGATCATAAATAATGTCAGTTGCCATAGCCATGCAGCTTTGCGTTACACAGCGTCACCAGGTGACTATGAACACTGAACAAATCAATGCATGGATGTCACATAACTTTTTTCAGCTGAATAAAAATAAAACTGAAGTGATTATTTTTGGAACTCCAGAGAGATCATTAAGAATCAAAAATCAAAACACAGCTTCAGTTATTCCAGTTAGAATATACTGGTTGTTTCTGGAAATTTGGGTATAGTGATGAACTCATGCCTGAACCTTAAGAGACACATGAAGACATTACAAAGTCAGCCTTCTATTACCTTAAGAACATTTCCTAGGATTAAATGACTAATGTCCCTACAAGATCTAGAGAAACCCATCCATGTGTTTATCTTTAGTTGAATTGATTACTGCAACAGTATCTTTACAGGTTTACCTAAACAAAAATCAATCAGAGGCTGCAGCTGATCCAAAGCCCTGCTGCTCGCATTCTCACTAAAACTAGGAAAATAAAGCACATCACCCCAGTTATAAAGTGTTTATACTGGCTCTCTTTATCTCAGTGAATAAATACTTTTGCTGGTTTATAAAACACCAAATTTTAGCACCAAAATACTTAAAGATCTGTTTTTTGTATCAATCTTCCAGACTGATTCTATTCTACTCTGCATCCCCAGAATCAGAACCAGACATGAAGAAGCAGCAGCTTCATGTTCCATTAATCTGGAAGAAACTCATTGAAAACTGCAAAAACGTTGAAACACTTAGTTCCTTTAAAGCAAGGCTCATTTTTTCTATTGCAATGTTGTTTCTTATGTGTTGCTTAATGTCTTCACCATAGCATAAAACATTTTGAATTTTCTCGAAGCTGAAAGCACAAATTCATTCATCCACTATATCAGTGGTTCGAACTGTGGTGGTGGTGTAATGGTGAGTGAGGGATACATTAGCACACATTGGGCTAACTGAGCAGTTTGAGTATCACAACCACCCTCGGATGTTGCTGATTATTGTTTCCATTCGTAAATGCACGCAGGATTGTGGAGTGTCCCAGAATAGCCGTGTTTCTTTTTCATATAAAGAAATACTTTAACTGAAAATTGTGAATTATTTCTACTTATATCACTTATATCTACTTATATCACTTTCTCTTTAGAGAATGAACAATTAGAAGACGAGTTTAATCTTCGCTTTTATTCTGACTCGGTTATTACTGGTAATCTGGATGAGCGGAAACCCCACAGTCATCAACTTCCGATGTCAGGGGCTGCCTGGGAGACGGAGCAGAAAAAGCGGGCATAGCGAAATCTTTATTGTTTTGTATAACGTTTAAACTTCTGAAGGCGCTAATTTCTGGCTTACCAAGTCAAATAACTTCACTTTGTAGGTCTGTGACCCTTTGGGACTTGCATCTAGCTCGTGAAAGTGTCTCATTCATTCGTCCGTAGTGTGTGTTGCAGCAGGCCTATTCTTCTGGACTTTGCTACAAGCTAATCGGCTAACGTTAGCAGGCAGGCTAACGAGCACGTTTTTCTTTCTCAATCATTCATGTCTGTTACGTTGTAAAATACACACCACAACACTTTATACGTGTGTTGGTTATTCATTTTTGGTAAATCCGTCGTGAAATTATCCGCTCGTCAAAGCTAATTCGTCGAAGATATTTCCAGCTAACAGCTTGTGTTTAAAAGTGTAGCTCACTTTGTTGCTAGCAGAAGCTAGCCACCGCCGACTGAACAACGCAGTCCCAGAGAGCGTAACAGGCTTCCACCCAGAGATGTCGGACTACGACGAGTTTGAGAGACAGTTGTCTGAAAACAAGCAAGGTAAGTAAATTAGCCGCACATCAATAACCAAACAACAGGTTTGTGGGTCAGATTTAAACCGCCGCCATCATTTTAGCCAATCGTGGATGTGTCTATTTGCAGGGACGCTGAAAGGCTCTTTACTGTCACACAGTCTCAGAGCCCCTCAAGTGCACCATTGTTCTTAAATTAACTAGGGTTGTTCACTGTAGGTTATACAGAATAATGAGCTTAATGGAAACTGGACAGCGGTACTTTTTAAAAAACTTTGATGTACACCGTGGGTTTCCTAATGCCTGGCATCCATCCGCTTCAGCTGCGTAGTGTACAGTGAATATTTATGTGTCGCTTACCTTTCATCTACCACTATTAACATTGGATAAAAAAATAAAAACAATCAGCCGACCACGCCTTTAACATCAGGCCCAAAACAAGCTACTCCCAGGGTGCATACTTTTTAAACTTTCTTTATAATTTTCTATATCTGATTAAGTATGAATAATTGCAGATTTTATTCAAATGGCAAAACTGTACACATTTAGGTAGCGCCGTAGATTTTATAGTGATTTATGTTAAAATTGCATCTTTTCACTATTTGCGCTATTACTCCTGGTGTTTATAATTTTAGTAAGCATATTGGCAAACTTCCAAGAGTTTATTTCAAAACAATGTCATCTGAAGAAAGGGTTGTAGAATATTTTGCAAATACTACCAAGTTGGAAAATAAATATTAAGAAGGTGACCTTTTGCGTTAGAAAGTTAACTTTATATCCTATTCCAAAAATATAAAGCAGTCCTACTGGTTTACAAGCTCTTATTTTCCACAGCGGAAAGGGACAAAGAGAACCGCCACCACCGCCGCTCTTCGTCCCGCAGCCGCAGCAGAGAGAGGAAACGGAGGAGCAGAGACAGGGACAGACGCAGCAGGGACCGCCGTGGAGACAGTAAGGAGCGAAGACACAGGCGCAGGTCAGTATGGACGTTCAGCAACGTCAACAGGCTGATAAACTCCTGTCACCTTATGAACTCTGCAGCTGAACTGATGTGAGGATTGATTCACTTGACCAAACCAAGCAAATTAAGTTATGCAGCTGCACATTCCTGGCTTTTAATTTGATCTAGAAATATTAAAAGGTGTATTATTAATTAACTATTATACTCATGATTACTTTCCCAAGCCCTTTGCTCCAGATTCTTAGTTTTGTGCACCAAGCAGACTTGGTATAAAAGACTTTCAACACCCAAAGCAACAACTTGCACCTTTGTTTTTGAATATTACTTGAAAATATCGAGACTCTTGGAACCACTACGGGCTTAATCTATAATCTGAACATTTGAACTAAGTTCTCCTGAAAATATTGCACAGTTTAAATTATTGAGCTGTTCAGGTCAAAAGTATTAGCTGCCAGCTGTTCACATGGATCTTTTCACAGATGTAAATCCTAGTGTTCTTACACAGCCCCCGTCATCCAGAGGCAGCAGATCCATCTGCCGTAAAAGGAGATGCAGCAATCAAATTTGTGGCTTATGCCATTTGCCAGTTTTTCCACCAGCTCTAAAAAAAATGTTTCAGGTTTCTTGATCATTAATATTTTAACCCAAGAGATTAAGATTATTTTCATTTGTGTATCAAAGTATGTGACTCTAACCCATTTAACGGTTTTAATTCTACTAAGGTCAAAATAAAGAGTCTGCTGTTTTCAGATTTGCTTACAGACAGAAAAAGTTTTTCACCTTTGGTTCATTTATTGAGCAGCTGAAAAATGTTTGGTTGATAAAGGGAAAATGGACTGATTTCGATCACTGTAATGGTGATAGAATTACTTTATTCCATTCTTTAAACAAACATCTGTTGATCATTAATATCTTCATCAAACTGCAGGAAACGATGTTAAAAGTAATGAAAAGATTGACGGTTTAAACATGTACTCTCTCTCTCTGTTTTTTTTTATTATCCTGAATCAAGTTTGCCTGTTGATTCCAACTTGTACACACATATTTTAGACTATTGTATTGAGATTGAATTGATAGTTCAAATACCTGAACCAGGGGAAGAATTTGTTTGTTGGGTCCAGACAAACAAATGCCAACAAACTCTCTTTTATTCCCATATGTGGGATTGGGATTTGCATGCGACCTCTGGTAAAAGATCCCACATGTGTTACCTCCCACTTTAAAAACACACCTGCATCACACACCTACTGATGTAAAATAGGAGCTAACTTCTCAGACTGTTGCAAAATCCTGCAATCTAGTGCCCAGATCTGGTGAGTGCGAGGGTGAAAAGGGCTCAGCTTTTGTGACGTGTCAATGTAAACAGTTAAATTGATGTTAAGAGAAATGTCAATCCCTTCCAATGTCATTTCAGCTCACCATCCAGCTACCCCCAAGACAAAGCTGGAAGGTAATACAGCAAACGAACACAAAGCTGGTTTGTGCATTGTTGCAACAACTGCAATTGTCTGTGTTCAGACAGTTTGTACTGTTTTATTCAAGTAACCGAGATGGGGGTCCAGTGTTGTATTTATTTTTTTTAATGGATGCAAATTGTCAATAGGTTGTTGTTTTTGTATATTTCAGAAAATGCAACCTAGTGTCCGCTTTGTTAGTGGAAAGTTTAGTTGAATTTCAACATTTTAATAACATTCACCTTAATTCTGTTCAACAGCCGTTCTCCCCATCGTGAGAAGAAGAAGAAGGTGAAGAAGTACTGGGATGTTCCTCCACCGGGTTTTGAACACATCACTCCCATGCAGTACAAAGCCATGCAAGGTATCATTTGCCTCCATCCATTTGGGATGAACATCAATAATCAGAGTCAAACTTGCTTCCTTAATAAAGAACGACTGTAAAGTCAGGGTTCCTGCACAGTTTGGGCAAACGGGGAGATTTATTGCAAATTTTAAGGTCTAGTAAATGTGGAAAAATACAGCAGTAGGATATACTTCCCTGTCCTGTTGTCTCGTCATGGCATCCATCTGTCTGTCCACATATCTGTCCATCATTCACCAAATGAAACGGTCAGATGCATTTAAAAAAAAAAAGTGTCTAGATTTTCAAACACTTTCTTTCTTTCTCTCCCAGCGGCCGGACAGATCCCAGCCACGGCCCTGCTGCCCACCATGACCCCGGATGGCCTGGCTGTTACTCCCACCCCGGTGCCTGTGGTGGGCAGTCAGATGACCCGGCAGGCTCGCCGCCTGTATGTGGGCAACATCCCATTTGGCATCACAGAGGTGAAAACTTCTTAATTGAGCATTTTTGTGGTAATACATTTACGTTTTAAATAAACTATGAAAAGTTTGAGCTAATTCACTGATCTTTTCCCTCCTTTCAATGCAGGAATCTATGATGGACTTTTTTAACGCTCAGATGCGTTTGGGGGGTCTGACTCAGGCCCCTGGGAATCCTGTGCTTGCAGTACAGATCAACCAGGATAAGAACTTTGCCTTCCTGGAGGTAGGGACGTATCACAGGGACCGTCGTTTTGTGATCACGATGTAACAATCAATTCGTGTTTGATGACATCGCTTTTCTGTGCAGTTCCGTTCGGTGGATGAAACAACACAGGCAATGGCCTTTGATGGCATCATCTTTCAAGGCCAGAGCCTGAAAATCCGCCGCCCGCACGATTACCAGCCCCTGCCTGGCATGAGCGAGAACCCCAGTGTCTATGTGCCGGGTACACAGACAATTAATGGTTTTTAACCTCAGTTGCTTGTCACATTTCATTAATATTCATAAAATTCTCCACATAGCCGTGACCTGTAATCATCTGATGTGATGTTTTTGCTTCCATCCTTGAACATGATGCAGGTGTGGTGTCCACAGTGGTGCCAGATTCGGCTCACAAGCTCTTTATAGGTGGTTTGCCGAACTACCTGAATGATGACCAGGTCAGTGTTTGTTTTTTGCCTTTAATCTGAGATACAACCCATAATATAACATGTTTTTCAATGTTCACGAGCCTTGAAATGTTAGAAATTAACTGAATGCAAGCCAACAGATCATATATTTGTAAGCAACATGACTCAATGTGAGAACTTTGTGTTTTTCTAGGTGAAGGAACTGCTGACATCATTTGGCCCACTGAAGGCCTTTAATCTGGTGAAAGACAGCGCCACAGGCCTGTCTAAAGGATACGCTTTCTGTGAATATGTTGACGTCAACTTGAATGATCAGGTAATTGGTCACAACAGAGGAAAATGTGCATCAGTGGAGCTCGTCTCAGGAGGGTGTAAATAATCGTTGGCATCTTTGCAGGCTATCGCCGGGCTGAACGGCATGCAGCTGGGAGACAAGAAGCTCCTGGTGCAGAGAGCCAGCGTGGGCTCCAAGAACGCCACTCTGGTGAGTTTCCAGCTGCTGGCAGCAGGATAGTGGGAACTTCGATGCTAAGCTCGGACACATTCCTGTTACGTTTTCTCTAGTTTGTCCCATTTTAACAGTGGTAACAAGTGAAAGTGGGAATCTTTTCTTTTCGGTGATGTTTTGTGTTTTCATATAGAAACAAAGGGTTTGTCCCACCGAAAGTTATTGTAGTTCTTGGGCCACTATTAGTGCTTGAGCAGTTTTGTTTTAAGAGTAAAACTCTTAAAGGATTTCTGATCTACATGAGTTTTACTCAGAATTTTTGTCAGAATGGATGTGTCATGCCACCCATTTATTTTTATAAACAGTTTCAAATACCTTTATTGGTGTTGGCGACTGCTCTTTACAGTCCTGTCATGCATTTCAGTGCACTGTTGAAAAGGCCCAACAGTGTTTCTATGCAGAGCCTCAAACGGTATTTATAAATGCATTTGGAAATGATAAATGTGGAGAAAAGCAGCTCTGTATGTATTGCACTACATTCATTATGCAACAGGCAAATAAACCAAACAACAAGTTATTAAGTCAGCTTATGTTGTTCTACTGCTGATCTCACATTTTAATGTTAAACCTCAGTGTTTTTATACTTTGGGCCTTAAATTAAGCAGACCAGACGTGATGCTTGCAGCATTTTAACATATTGATGTTTTCAGTAGCCTGACCTAATCCACTGACAAAACTCTGCAGAAGCAAAGAGCTGATGCCGTGATAAAACCAGTGTTATGGTCCGGCAGATAATAACTGCTGTGGATCCAGTTTAACACTGGAATTGATTTGGTGGAGGGGAAAAAATACATTATTTCAGTTAAACATATTAAACTTAAGATACTTTTTTTTTCTTTGTTTAGCCTTTTTCAAAAAAAAAAAGAAAAAATATTTTTTTGATGTTCATAATAGTAGGGAAGAATACATCACTGTTTCTTTTAAATATTGCATGTATTGCAGTGTTTTCCCTCCAAGCCTGGTTTTGTTTCATCACAGATAATCATTTTTCTCTTAGTTTGTGGAAATTATGTTGCTAAACAGTAAAATAAAAATCCAAAATATAAATGTACACAAGCTGACTTGCAAGTTAAGTCATGCAGTTTTCATAAACATTGTTAGGCAATGCATGAAACTCACACCCCTGACCTCCTAAAATGCAGATTTTTGTTCTAGTGTAGTAATGAGGAAGTGAGTGAACAGTACATTGCTCGCCTTTCAGCTACGGTGTTTTTTTTAAAATTACATTTAATAGTGATCATGTCGGCGTTTATCCTCTAGTGCAGAACAGAAGGACTCCCAATATGGTGGGGTGGCTATAAATATGACATGTCACATTGGTTGTTGATGTGGTAGACCTTCTGCATGCTTAAAGCAATCTGATTCCAAATAAATTGAACCTTTTTTTTTTTTGCAATCTGTGCGTTTTTTTTTTCTTCCAGACAACCATAAACCAGACGCCTGTGACGCTGCAGGTCCCGGGTCTGAACAGCTCTGTGACTCAGATGGGCGGCCTGCCCACTGAAGTGCTGTGTCTGATGAACATGGTGGCCCCAGAGGAGCTCCTGGACGACGAAGAATATGAGGAGATTGTGGAAGATGTGAGGGAGGAGTGCAGCAAGTACGGCCAAGTCAAGAGCATCGAGATACCTCGCCCTGTGGACGGCCTGGAGGTGCCCGGGACCGGCAAGGTAGGCGGTGTTCGAAGTCCAGATTTGAACATTTCTGCATTTGGTTACGTTACAACCAGATATTTAGTTTGGATTTTATGTGATGGATCAACACGAAATAGTGCGAGGTGGAGAGAAAGAGATCTCAGAATGTTTGAAATGTGAAAGATGTGGCATGTATTTGATTTCCAGGGTCCATGCATCCTTTAAAAGTCTTAAAGTCATGCATCTAAAATGAAGGCCATAAAATGTCTTAAATTGTTTTTTTGTTTTTTTTAAAAAAATGCAAGTTGGCTTTAACTACAGAACCATTTAATCTTGAATCTATGCAGATTTATTTGTTTTTTCCCACGGAAATTTTCTGTCAGGCTTAATTTGAGTCACCTGCACACATCCTTATTGCATTCTGTGACTCGAGGCGGTTGAGGCTTCCAGTAACTGGCTGCTAATATCCTCTTGATCGCTGGCTTTATTTCGTCTTTTATGGGTCAGTGTAAATTTATCACTAATTTATCGTCTTTTGTACATTTCTGTTGTGATACGGGGTGACTTTATTTACACACACCAGAGTAAAGAGGGCTGAAACATATGCTTGCCTCAAAGATTTTATTAGTAAGAGTCGGAGTATTTCCCTTTCTCTTTACCTTCATGCACAACTTTAAAAACACTGCTTGAGGATTGTAGCATGACAAAATATGAGAAAGCTCAAGGAAGATGAATGTTTGTGGCAAGTCGTGGTCTGTTCTGTCACCAGACTTCAGTGTTTTGTGTTTTTTCCCCCCCCTCTTTTTCCAGATCTTTGTGGAGTTCACTTCAGTTTTTGACTCCCAGAAGGCCATGCAGGGGCTCACAGGAAGGAAGTTTGCCAACAGGGTGGTTGTGACAAAATACTGCGATCCAGATGCTTATCACCGCCGGGACTTCTGGTAGATGGGGTGGTGGGTAACAGCTTGGGGGGGTGGGGGGGGGAGGAAGGGATGGTAATGTTATGTAAATTGCCCGTTTCCAGACCAGCCCTGGCAGTAATTGGTTGAGCAACATTTCAGGTAGATCTTTGACTTTTAATCATTTGATGAATGACTTCTATGATATCCAGTTTATTGTTTGAGATCTACATGACATGTCCAGCTGTTAAAACCTATATTTGTGATCGTAAGAAGGTCGGGGTTTGTAATGAAGGCATAACAGAGCTAGGTTTGGGTACTAGTTGCGTAGCTGGGTGGGTGGGGCGGGTGGGGAAGGCCATGAGGATTTTTGAGAAATGTGTGTATTAAAAAGGGCCAGGGGGCGGGATTTACAGTTTGTTTGTTTTTTTTTGTTTTGTTTTTTTTTGTTTTTCTTTTTATACTTTGTCCAACCTGAGTGTCAGCTTTGAGAGAAAGTTGGGTTGAAGGGGAACTCCTTACTTTAAAGGTTTGTATTTAAATGGAGTAAGCCTATTTTAATTAAATTCAAAAGGAGCTGCCGTACAGAACGACTAGACAATTCTGATTGAAAAGAGTAAAGGAGAAAAAAAAAAAATTTAGGGAGTACGTGTTTGTGAAAGGGAGATGAAGCAGAAGACGAAGGGCATTTTCAGTTGATTTAATGTAGATACACGGTAGCCGTAACAACGTCCACCTGTTTTGTCATCACCGTTGGAGAGGAAAGTTGTTTTATTTCTGTTATCTCTTCATGTTCCTTCGTTTGATCACTCTGCTGCCCCTCCGTCTGATTGGACTTTATCTGAATGTCGGCTGTAATCGTTCTGATATGTGCGTAGCTTTTCTGATTCGAGCTGTAATATCACCTTGTATTCAATCTGCAAAATAACACAAACCGCTGGAAAAAAAAGAGAAGAAAAATCCATGATTCCATTTGCATTTTCTTTTGTTTTCCTTCCTGTAACTTTTCATGCCCAGGTTTTGTTTTGTGAACAGCTCTTCATATTTTGACCCTGATTCAGATTACGACGAAACGGAGAAAACGGAAAGCAGGTTTCTATTCAGTGAGAGAGGAGGGGATGCATCTCATCTTTTACCAGCAAGCCTTAACCTTATTAAATCAATTCGCTTTGGAGAGAAATTTGGCTTGCCCCTCTTTCAGTGATGTCTGTGCTTTCATACGTGTCACAATCTTGTACCCTGGACAGCTCGGTTTTCTTCTTGGATGTTAAATGTGTTGGATCCAGTACGTTTTTGTGCAACATCTCACCTTCTTTGACAAGACCAAATAAAACACAAGACTAAAATCCCACGGCTCATGTTTGTCCTGCAGAATGAAACCAAATTCAGCTGTTTTATGTCTCTGTCAGCAGATTTATCAAATTAATCCACTTATTGGTCGACGCTGGCCTGTTCCATAACATTTGGACCCTGTAGAGACGAACGAGGCATTGCAACCTACTCATTTCTATCACTGCCCCCAGTCCTTTCACTTTCATTCCCGAAGGACCACGTTTCACACTGTACGGGCTTGATGATAAACTTTCATTTCATATTTACGGCTCCGCGAGATGGCGCTTAAGAGTGTGACAGAAATAACACTTTTGAAATGTTACTCCTTACTTTTTCAAAATCTTCTGTGTCTGTGTCGATTTCTTTTTTTTTTCCTTCTTCTAAAAGCGAACGTGATTTCTTAAATGATTTAAACCTATTAAAAAAAAAGCAGCATCTAGTTTGTACAAGCAGTCTTTTGTTTGTCCAGTTTGTTTCCAAATGTTGATTAAAAGCTGAATTTACATGACTGCTGCCTTTTTTTTTTTTTTCCTTTTTATCGTGCACCCTCATGTTTGGCTCAACACTAGAAAAGTCTGGGGTCTTCTTTCAGTTGATGACATCATTTAAAAACATCCTTGTACTGAACAGTAATGTCCAAGTGATGGCGCTATTTCACAGGCACATCTGGTAAAATTTTTATTTATGTAATTATTTTTTTTTTTAGGTTTTCAGTATTTATCTTTAGCACTTCAAGATCAAATTTATCTTGCTGAGAAAATTTTACCTTTAAATAGGTCAAACATTGTTGGAAAAGTTTAGAAAATGCCCATTATAAATAAAATTAAAAGTGTTTTTTTGTTATAAATTTATTGCTTTAGACCAAACTTTTTTTTTTTTTTTTTTTTTTACACAGATTAAAAATTAAATAGTTTTAAGTCTAAACGCTCTTCACATTTCCACTTTTAGGCCCGTTGTTTGGGCACAAATTACACACATGTAGAAACAATGGTCTTAAAATAAATAAAAAATAAATAACATGTTTAAATGTTTAACATTTAGTTAACCTAAATCTAAATGACGTTATCTTTTTTCATAAGGTCATGTAATATTTGCAGCTCCAATATGAGTTTTATTTAGCTGGACTTAGGGTAGAAATGCCTCTTTCGATCGTAAAGGTTGCAGACACGTGTTCTAGTTATCAGTATCAGACATCCTTAAATTTCATGGTTTTCTTTTGAGCCATCAAATTCTTTTAATCACCAAATGTTTTGCTTCACCCCCAAAGCCAAAGTTATATTTCTAACTTCAACATTTGGTCCATCAGTACAGCATTTAAATATTATTTGAGCCGAAACAGGCTGGACTAATTTAGTTTGTTTCAATCACACACTGAAATGATCATTTAATAATGAATTTGGGTTAAATATACCTTTACCACAGCAACAAACAGAAGAAATGTGTTCAATCAATAATGAATCAGCGACTTTAAATTGTGGCTAATATACATTACAACTGGTGCATTTCCTAGTTCATTTGCATCCTAAATACGTGGGGATGTTACAAATGAAAATAATTTTAAATCTGCTCCTCATGAACCTTCAAACATACTTTAGTTATGTGGAAGTGGAAGTAGACATATACACTGACTGGATAGCTGAGTGCTCTTGGCGCCCCCTGTTGACCGGTGTCCCAGTTTGCTTGTGATTTGTGCTGGCACTGATCAGCTTTATTTGAAAACAGTGTTTTCTAATATCTTCTTTTTTTTTTTTTTAAACCAGTGCTTCCTAATCTTTTTGGAGTTGATGCATCCTTTTCAAATGATGTAGGCTGAGCTCCCTTGTTTGCGTTATTGTTGTCTGTACCTATTTATAAATCGCCTACACAAAGATAATTAAATCTCCCATTCGCTGGCGTTAGCTGGCATACGGACACATTCTTAGCCAGCAGTAATGAAAGCCATAAGGAGCATCCTGACTTATTCAATAGGGAGTTCGTGTAAAACAGTTATAGTAAAGCAGCAATGCTCTGACATGGAATAATGGCCTGTGTCAGCTCTATACCACCCATCTTCATCCGCATGGCTACACTCCACTGCACTGGACCCAGAGGCAGGGTCTGTGATGCAGCACTCTGTGCCCGGCTGCTCCCCGAGGACGGAGCTGGAGCATCAGAGCTTTCATGCATCCGAAACCTTTTACACACCAGAGCTCGTATGTAAAAAAAAAAACAAAACAAACTTTGACACAGCCACACCTACAGACCCGGAGACTCCTCTGACCACTATGAGAGATCCCTACATGTCATTACCGTCCCCTCTCCTCTCCCACCCTGGTGCTGCAGTGAGGATTGTAAAGTCATCGTCGCCCTCTAGTGGTGAATGTGTGACTCTGGCGGTGATCATTGGCATTCCGGACAGAGCTTCCTCATTGATCTTCATTCAGAAAGATGGAACACTGCCGCAGCGGGAGTGCAACACTGGAGCTGGATGCGGTATCTGTGAGCAATATCCTGTGTTTATTCTACACACAGGGGGTTAAGCTCTGCAAATCATCGTTTGGAGAGGGGCTCTGCACCAGCTAAACACATAGATGTTATTAATGTGATACGAAGCCTTTTAATGTGGAAATTAAAACTACGGAGACGGATGAGACACTTTGAGATGCTTCATTTGGCCATGTGCATGCTGCATCGATGTTAGTCATGCTTCGACATGACAGCCGATCATTACTCTTAGTAGCCGTGTATTTATAACGTCTCAAAAAAGAAACCCAAAGAATTTAATGCAAAGAGAGCTTTTCTTATGTTCTTTGAAGTGTCTTTCCACTTGTCCTTAGCTAATAAGTAAAAGAATAGGTTTAACTTGAACTTTGCTGTTATGTAAGGAGTAGAGGGCGTCATATGTGTACACATTTCGGATAAGCTTCCCCACAGCATGATGCATTCACCACTATGTGGGGACGCTGTGTTCCGGGGTAATCTGCAGTGTTAGTTTCTGACTACAAATATACTTTTGCATGCTAGGTGTGGTGTGCTATCATACCACACCTCCACAGTTTATTTTGAAACATCTAAAAACCACAGGAAAACTGAAAAAAAAAAAAAGATAAAAAGCATAACAAAAACCATAAAAGATCAACACGGGTCAGAGAATAAGAGGTAAAACAGAACAGAACACAAATTAAAAAAAAAAATCTATAAATTATACTAAAAACAAAAAAAAGGAGTACAAAATCATCTTACACAAAAGACTTCATCGCCTCTCAGTATAGATGTTTTTGGAACCACTAATAGCATCTGTTCTATTGATCTGAGAATACAATGTGCTGCAAATGGGCACATCGGTGCAGACAAATAAAAAAAAATCATTTTAAAATGAATTCAGAAATGATCTGGAGTCCACTCAGGGGAAACCAGTAATGGCGCAATCAAATCATACCAGTTTAATAAACGAGATCATTACAGTAATTGAGGTGCAAGGTTAAAGAGCATGTATTTCTGTCTCCAGCTGTGGATCTCCTCAACTCCTCCAGCGGTACCAAATCCTGTTTGTTGCTTCTCTGATCAGTAAGTTGAGATTTGTGGCTCTAATGTCAAAAAAAGTTACATAGTTAAGTCATAAGAATCCTTTTTGAATGCACTGTAGCTTTCAAATATTTGATAAACAACATTATAAACCTATGTTGATTCATGTTGGGCTTATAGCTAGGCCTAATTCTTTATTGGGGGAAATGTTTGGGCTGCAGCAGCAAAGTGTGTAATTGTTGCATCACAAATGTAATGTGTGATGCCTGGTGCGCCCACACAGGCAAACACATGAGGACACATGTAAGCCATGCAGAGTGTTGAAGCATAAGTCGGTGCTGCTGACGGAAGCCCAAGAGTGATGTGGAGACAAGATTATTCACATCAGCACGCTGCAGATTATTGATGGCTTCTGACTGTCTTTGGACATTTTCCATCCATCTCACATGATGGAGGAGCGGCGGGACTCTGTGAACTCAGGTGTTTCGAAGAATCCACACACACTGTTCGCATTAAAACAGATTGCCGTCCTCTCAGTTAACAGATTAATTGCAGCTGTTACAGGTTGAACATATGTGACCTCTCTAAGGGAAGTTCATCTACTGCGCAATCTCACAGTGAACATCGGCTACTTTAAAAGGCTTCAGTGTTCATAACTCTCTGTATTGTTCTTCTTGAAGAATATAAAAAGTTGATAAAAATGGAAGCTATTAAAGATTTTTCAGGGCGAGAGTTCAGTTCAGTCTTACAATGGAAAATGTTAAGTGCAGTGCAAAGTGTTCACCTTTTAATAATAGCATTGTTTTCTTTAATGTTCATTTTATTGTGAATAAAACCACAGACACAACCTTTACTCCATAGCAAGACATTTATTAAACTTAGAGCAAGTGTTTTCAACAAAAAAGAAATCCGTATCCCACTCATTTCTCCCAGTTTTTAAAAAATTATATGTCCTTTTTTTTCATAAAACATGTGAGACCCTTTTAATATTCTATAATAATTACAAATTCCTCTTAAAAAAAGCCTGACTTCTTTGAAAATATCACATGCTTAGTTAAGTGTTTGGTTAAAGAAAAAAATGGGAGAGATGCAAAATGCATTTTTAACTAAGGA